TTCTCATTTGCTTTTTCTCTATTTATTTGCTACATGCAAGGACTAGTATGAAATATCATTGTCATGATGAGCATAAATGAAGATCAATGCTAGCACATCTACTGTCAGACAGTTAGGCACACAAAGGGTAATCATACTCCTGCATCTTCACAAAGCAAGCAAATGTGTTCAATAAAACCATGCAAATATGGAGCAATGTGACTCTAAAGTGTATTAGAAATGTAAATGATACAGAACTTCATTCTTGAAGTCTGCAGTAGAAAGGAATAGAGTAACAGAGCTGAAAGTGGGGTCGATCTCAGCTGGTACGTGACAGAGCTTGGATCTCCTGCACATGGCATGTCAGACTCCTTTTCCATTGTGGACCACATACAGCCCACTTTGATGTCCATTTTCCTACATGATAAAGAAATGGCGCTATAGTCAGGGGTGCACATAAGTGGTCCGCAGGTGCGCATTCGCTGTCAAAATAAAAGACGCGCACCGGATAAGAAGTTGCAACGCGTGTTTGCGTACGTTAGATTTTCTGGAGGAGGACAGACATTTGTTTAGAACTCTTAAAAATGTCGAAGAAGCAAGCTCCTTTAAGGAATTACTTTGGTGTTTCTCCACCTCCAAAGAAATGTCAGGAGTCCGAACCGCAAAAGAAACGCGTATTCTCGGAAAAGTGGTTGCAGGAGGTGAGCTGGCTTCAAACAAATAATGAACGCACAGAGATGTGGTGCAGAATATGCTGTGAAAATCCCACTCTAGCTGACAAAAACACTGCCTTTTATATGTACGCAAACACGCGTTGCAACTTCTTATCTGGTGCACGTCTTTTATTTTGACAGCGAATGCACACCTGCGGACCACTTATGTGCACCCCGGCTATAGTAAATTAAAGAGATCTGTCACCGTGACTCTTTGGGACTTAAATTACAGAAATCTGTCATTTTATTACTTTCAGGTAAAACTTGTGAAACTACAATTAAGTCCAAAACTTATGGCCTCATAAGTTTTGGACTTCCGATGGACGGCCAGTGCCTTGAAAAAAGTAACTACTTCATAGTAATTCCTCTGCTTTTGCTCTGAAATGTACACCAGCATCAGTCAGCAGCATGCATGTGCGTCACACTAAAGTAATATTTCGCGGCACGTTTGTGTTTCAGGACTCAGTTGTGCATGAAATCTGCAATAATCCCAGTGACTGTGTTTGCCTTGTGTGACAGTTTGTGTCGCTGCCTCTGAGCCTTTTTCCCAGTGTGAGAACTGCTCCACTGTACTAAGTGTGTCAACAATACCAGCTGAGAGGCAGCCTTCAGTCCACACACAGCAACTGCAGACTAATCCTTAAAAGAGAGAAACTGGATGAAAGCACGGAGGGAGGGAAGCACAGAGGAAGAAATATAGAGCAAGCATATGGGAAAGTGGAAGGATGGAGATGATAAGAGCAAGAGACGGAGCGATGGTGGAGTTGAGCTTGACAGTGAAAGAGGGAGAGAGGAGAGGTGGAAGTGTGAATGCTAGAGAGAGAGGGAGACGGAACGATTTTAATGTTTCAAAGGATTTCCCTATCACAGTCTCTGACACATTACATACACAGCTCACTATCAGCCCAACCCTGACAGCTGCACAAATTGGCTGAAAGAGGTTCCCTGGGCAAGGCCTTTGATCAGGTTTGTGTGTGTGTTGTGTCAGCAACACGAGGGGAAGGGGAGAGGTTTTGTACATTTGTGCATACCTGGACATCTGCGTACTGAAGAAAGACTCTTTCTGCTCCAGATCAGTGTAATGAAATGAATGTACAAAGATAAGGCTAACTGTGTGCATGTTTGTTAATAGTCTAACAGTCTGGTTTTGCTTCATGAGCTTATATTGTGTTTACCATGCAGTGGTGTGCAGTGTGTTATCTTAAGCGTGTATAGCTTTTACCCCTGTGATATTTCTCCATAAGATTTCAGCCCGGTGTCTTTTATGTGTCTGACACTCCCCATCAACCATGTGTCTGTGTTATCTTTCCGAGGAGGTTGGTAAACAAACCCATTGTTGAAAGGCTCATATCGAGTCGGTCCGCGGCACAGTTCAGGCTTTGAGGCGGTGAGGTTTCCAATATCGTGATTGCAGACACCACATGGGGAAAAAAAGATATGCGCTTCTTTTCTTTCCTCTAACAGTGACACATTATACAATAAACTTTTATAAAATGTCCTGAGAAAGCACACTTATGACAGACTTCACGTGAATTGTTGATTCTAATGATTGGTTGTTTAGCTTTGTTTGTCAAAAATGGTGTAAAATGACCATAATTTTAAAAAGTTTGAAATTGTGAAACCATTTGTCTATGACTCAAAAATATAAAGGCAATTATGTCCTGTCAACTAGATTGACTAATTAAGGAATTGATTATATTTAGCACATTTTAGTATATTATATAGTTCTGTTTTGTGTCTGAAGTGGCTGATACAAAGTTGTTGAGCCAGTATCAATATTCTTCTCAGTGAATACTGCTTTAGGAGTAGAGGCTGGAGATATCACGATATTTAAAGAAAATTTGCACTAACGATGCCTCTGATGATGCAGAAAAAATGATAAACGATGTTTTATGTTTGGAGCATGAGAGCAGCAGTAAGTAAATGAAGAGCATTTTCCATCCTCTTCCTGCGAGTTATTGTCATTGATGACACACTACCTAATTCAAAGTGTGACACTATTGAAATGAGGACCGGTAGTGGCAGCATTCTAATTCAACAGGGGCGACATAGCATGAGCCAAATATTAGAGCAAAAGTAGCCCAGCTGCTTTAGTTGAACAATAAACTCTTCAGGACCCTGGTCAATATGGTCACATAGTAAAACTGAAAAATACTTTATACCTGGGAAGCTGTTTAACCAGCTCTGTAAAGTTCTGCTTTTCCAACATTTAACCGTGTCAGTAATTTGCATTCACTGTTTGCCCATCCTGTCATACGGAGTTCAGCTTGCAATGCTTGGTTGGGTCTTTTTTTTTTTTTAACCTTTGCGTCGCATATCAGTATCTGCTCCATTGTAGCCTTGTTGTACTCGATGTGTTTTTCCCTCAAATGGTGAAACTCGTTGTTTCCACATTACCTGGAACAATTTTCTTGCATATTTTGCAAAGTAGCGTGCTGCTTTGGAGGTGATTTAAAATCGCTTCTGTTTTAGTAGCCAAAAATGATTCTTTCTCTCTGACATGCCTGGAATTGTTTCATTCATTGCACTGGTAAATGTAAATGTGTGGCATTTCTACAGCAACGATATGACATCTTTTTGACATTATCATGTAAAAATTTGTCGGTGGTATTGTGAAAAATGTATGGCGCAGCCCTAAATTGAAGTTATTCAGGAAATAACATCAAACTGCAAATCTCAGAGACACTGGTAATACAGAGTATTATTTCTCCCAGCTGTTAAACTGAAGTATTACCCAGCATAGCCTCTCTTTCACCTCTGCACTTTGTTTGTGTTTGAGCTGAAGTGTACAGGCTCGTTGTTGGCTGCTGGTGTGAGGTGCTGGCCTGTAAATGACATAAGCGCCTTCTCCTTTTACTCCTGCGTGTCTTCCATACATGTGTTGAATCCTGTTAGCGCTGTCTGTCTGAGCTGCTAGCATGCGTCTGAGTGTGTGTTAGGATTTGTGCACCAGCTGAGAGGAAATGCAGGTAATGGATTAATATCAGAGCTGGCTCAGGCTCCACATTGCTCTGTGGTGACAGCCTGTCATTATCACAAACACCGGCTCACACTCGTGCACGCACACACAAGCTCACACAAGCTTCCTTGCAATTGTGCATACATATCCACACACAACTCCAAATACAGGATTCACCTTAAGTATGTACACGCTTCCTTTCCTTACCTGTCTCTATCCTTTCTCTCCCTGTCTCTCATTTTCTCGTCATTACAGCACACAGTGCTGCTGCGCTGTGATCATCTCAAGCTGCAGCAGCTTCTTGAACTTGTTCTATCCACTTTCCAACAGTGGAACCAACACTGGGACTACACATCTTTGCGGTGTAGCTGTTTTCCTCCAAGGCAGCAGACGGAGTGTTTTGAATGCTGCTGTCATATGGGCCATCAAGCTTGTTTGCTTCCTCCAAACTTAACCTAATAGTTTGCCTAAGGCAGCGGGCAGGCAGGGGTGGGTGTGCCTTCAGTGCCAGGCACTCATTAATCCTTGCACTGCTCTTCTCCCTGCCAGAAATGGTCATCTTATTAAGCCATTTAGTCAGTATTGAGCTGTGTAATTGGACAGTGGAGGCCAATAGGAAATGTTTGAGTAAGTTAAAGGTGATAAAAGGACCTTGCTTGATTTAAATGCTGTACAGCCTGCTCGGTTCACCCATGGCATAAATTTATTAATACAAATTATAGCTGTGTTTGCTTTAAGACTTTCTTGCCTGACAGTGGCTTGATACCTTTGCATTACAAGAGATGTTTTGAATATCTTTCATTTTTCTGGTCTACGTTTGCTTGCATTGTAACTAAGGTTAAACAACCAGAAAGCAATTGTGCTGCTTTTAATGTTTGCTGATTTGTGCACACACACAAACAAACCTGTTTTTCATGAAAATTATCAATGGTTTGAAACATTTCCTTATCTAAATCACTGTAGAAGTCACTGCACCTTTACACTCCAGTCAGCGCTGAAAGGAAGTCCCTACTGCCTTGTCATTATGTGCAGAACCTTGTGCGAAGATTCAGCACAGCATGCTATTGTTATTCGGGCAAGCCCCAGTGGTTGGGTACCATGAACATCACGGACTAATTTCAGATCTCTTGCTTTCCTAATTTTATGTACTTCCTCTAGAATAAAGAGATAATTGGGACAGGAAAAGATGTGGATGTGAGATTGGTAGATGGAATTTAGCTGAGGAGCGGAATCTGCAGTGAAGTACTTTTTTTGTGGTGTTATCAAATATGTGATTCATGTGACACCAAACATAACAGTAAAGACCTAATGTGACGTTTGCCTTTCTGTGTGTTTTTCTGTCTTTGCAGCAGTCCTATGCCCCTCCCCCTCCACCCATGGCTCCACCCAGCCCTGGCAACACAGGAGGAGGAGGTGGTGGTGGAGGTCAGGGAGGAGGGCTAGTGGAGCAACTTAGTAAGACCAACCTGTACATCAGAGGCCTGCCGCCTGCCACCACCGACCAGGACCTCATCAAACTCTGCCAGCCGTGAGTTCTATTTTCTTCTACTGTCCCTGCCTTCGCTCTGCAGATGCATTAAACGTCCTCAATACAGCTGCGTTCAGTTCATTCCTGCTCAGTTCAGTTTAGTTCAGCTTGTGGTAATTAGTGTTGCGTGAGTGTGACAGGAGCTTATAATGGGTATCAACAATTTGCTCTTGACCCCTGTGTTCCTCCTCTCTGCTTCCTCAGAGGAAAAGACACAACCCAGCTGGGCCTAGCCCATCCGCTCCTTTCTGCCCTGCGTCATCTACACACACAAGGATAGATAATCCTCCTGTCCATCGGTGGAGGCTTGAAACTCCTCAGTCACACGAAGATTTACTTCTCACATGGATGACAATATGATGGATCAGTCCACATTCCATGTTAATAGTAATATAAATGAGCTGTGGGAAATTAAATTGCATCAAATTACCAGTTCAATCTAAAATTTGATGACTTGATGCAGCAGCTATATTTGATAAACATCTGAATATTTTAGTAATGGCTGTATCTAGAGTGATTTAGAAGATTTCCGTTGGAACTGATGAAGGCACATTTTCATTTTTAGCAGCTTTGTTACGTCTGAGCAAACTCTGATCCAGTGTTTATTTTAACCCATTAGGCAGCTGTTTCCTGATCAGATTTTAGATCAGGGTTCTCATCATAGTGCCTAATCAGATTTAGACTAGGTTCAGAAATATACAGAGTTACTGTTTTGAAAAAACGATGAGACTTTTCAACATGATTTTGTTTTTCTAAGCTTCTTTTCCTCTTTTTAAGGGATCCTGTCACATTTGTTAAAAGCTAATTATTATAGACATTAAAAAAATTCAATTTATCTGTAATTGGAATAATAATACTACACAACAGCGGCTGTGATAATACTGTAGTGTACTTTTCCTGATTAATCACTGAATGTAGTAACTTAAGCTGCAAGAGCAGAAACACTTGACAGGTAATAGGGCCGTACTCTGTTAATTTCAGTATCTAGCTTTGTCCTTTTCTATTGTTTCTTTGTGTTAAAAGTTGGTCCTGCGCATTTAATCCCTACATATCCCAAATGTGGCTCAGGTGGTAGAGTGGGTTATCTACAAATAGGGACGTCGGTGGTTCGCTCCCTGGCTCGAGGTTATCCTTGGGCGAGGTACTGAACCCCAAGTTGCCTCTGATGGATCTGTCAGTGAGGATGTGTGCGTGAATGTTAGACAAGGTGCTTTGGTATAGGGGGGAAAAATGCGCTTATATGAATGTGTGAGAGATTTGGTGGTTGGTTACAGTAAAAAGCTCTATATTAGTTCTGCTGCCATTTTCCATTTAAATTTTGTAAACAATTTAAACCTGCTTTTCTTATTTGCCTTCTAGCTTATGTTGGTCGATAATATCAAATGTAATTAGTGAGTTGTATATTAATAATTATAGTGATTGCTTGTCTTGAAGCTATGGGCTTTAAATATTTTCAAAAGCAATTTGATTGTATAGATTTTGTGAAACAGAGAAGACGGATAAAAAATAAAATGCAAAGACACGTTCACATATGCACACACTGTATCTTTCCTTTCTGTGTGTCAGCTGCAGTTCAAGCCTGTTGTATTTCAGCTCAGCCCTGGAGGCAGTTCTGGAAAAACGGGGTGAAAAATGGGGGCCAATAAAAGTTTCATTAGAGGCCCAGTCAGTGTGCCAAGTGGCCAGTAACATTTAGGAAAGGTCATGGAGGAGGGGAGGGGTGCGTGTGCTGTTGGGCAGCATCATAGTGTTGGGTTTCTAACTTGCTCCAGCTTTTGGAAATAGAGTGGCAGCTTCCTGTCAGTCACTTACATGATATGCACGCATGCACACACAAACAGGCCTTTCTTTCATGCACAGTTGCAGTGAGTAACAGGAGGACAGTACTTACACTGATGCACATATACAGACATGCACACTCTTTCAATTCAGTGTCATGAATTGCCAACCATGGCTTTTTTTTTTTTTTTTTTGTACCAAACCTCCCATCAGCATCACACACACCCTTACCATTCTTTCATCCTCCTCATTTCCTCCTTCCATCCTTTCCTCTCTGTCCGCCCTTCCCTCTCTCCCTCACCCCTCTTTCCCCCTTCTTTCTCTCTCTGTCTCCGTGCCAGTTCTCAGAGTGTCAGTGAAAAGTGCTGTTGTCAGCTGACATTTCCAATCACTCCCCCGGTCGCCAAAACTATGGACACACTTTTAACGTCTGGGGACAGAGCAGAACGTGAGCGGAATCTAAAGTGGAGCACAAGGGCAATTTCTTTCTCTCACTCACTTGCTTTCACTTCCCCCTGTTGTCTTTCTGTCTCTCTCTCACGCTTGATTCCCAGCTGTCTGTCTGCATATCGATCTAGAACTTAATCTGTGGTTAAAATCTGCAGTGTAGCTCATGATGATCTTAAAAAAAAAGTGCTTCCTGTTGTGGTTGATGGATATGAAACTTAAACCTTACAAATATCTTTTTGCCCACACATTTCAGAGTTTCCATCTTAAATTTCAGTTTCCGTGATATTACTCATTACATCAGAGTGAAACTCATGGATTAAAAATGTTCAGCTGCTAGAGAAATCTGTTATGGGAGCCATATTGTTCAAACTGTAACCATATTGTAAACACCTGTACCTTGTCATTTTTTTAAATGTGATTAAACTAAAGCCTGAGGAATATAGTATTTTTAAGACCTCTAAAAATTCCCTGGAAAGTGACAATTAATCTACCAGCATCTGGAAAGAGATCAGAGTTCCTCTATATTGGAAGTTGGAGTCAGCACTTATAACATTTTTTTTTCCAAAGGGTTTTTGTCCAGTTTGCATTTATCAGATTTTAAAACATGATGAGTTGTAAATGTTAAAAAAAATGAAAAGGCAGAGCTGACACCAAAACTTTCACTGGGATGGACAAGGTATCAACACAGGAATGAGTATATCAGAGGGACAACTCGGGTTGAAAGCTTTGGAGATCAAGTTAGAGAGGCAAGCCTGAGATGAACATGGGACATGTGCGGGCTAGAGAAGTGATAGTGGATTTATTTTACAAAGACTGCTTGTGAAGCTGCAATGCTGGAGGAAAAGAAAGACCACAGAAAGTTCATGGATTTAGTGAACAATGATATGCAGGGGGTTTTTATGACAGAGGATGCTTGGGACGGATGATCTGATATCCTCGTGTTGGTGTTGTTCCCACATCATCATAATAAATGTTGTTCCAGGTTCGATATTGCAAGTGACCAGGATACTGCTGAAATGCAACGAATTCAAATTGCTGGATTGGCAGACAGAGGCAGTTTTTCGCAAGTTAAGTAGATTTTTTTAAGGTGTTTTTTCCCCCAAAGTCGCAAAAGTATGATGTCACAACAATGTGATTGGTCACTTGCAATGTTAAACCTGGAACAATATTTATTATGATGATATGGGAACAACACCGACACGAGGATATCAGATCGTGCGCTTGGGCCAGCAGGTGATGGAGGCAAACGATCCACTGTTCCATCCCTTAGAGCAGGGATGGGGGAACTCCAGGCTTCAAGGGCCGGTGTCCTGCAGGTTTTAGATGTGTCCTTGATCCAACGCAGCTGATTTAAATGGCTAAATTACCTCCTCAACATGTCTCCAAGTTCTCCAGAGGCCTGGTAATGAACTAATCATTTGATTCAGGTGTGTTGACCCTGGGTGAGATCTAAAACCTGCAGGACACCGGCCCTTGAGTTCCCCCACCCCTGCCTTAGAGTTAGCAGCTGGAAGAGGAAGTGCTTCTTGTGGTACATCGGCAAATGTCAGCTACCAGTCTACAGATAAATTAATCAGGCTCTACCTAAAATGTTTGCAAATGCTCGCCGAGCATTGAAAGGGCTTAATTTTTTTTATTTAAATTTTTTTATTTCAAGAATTAAACCAAAGCAACTGTTAAAAAAAAAAAAATGCCTGACTAATAACCAGCTGTATTACATATATCATGCACCAGTATTGGTCCAGTAAGATCTTCTGCTCTTTTGCTGAGCCTCCATATTGACGTGTCAAAGCAGCAAAATATTGTTATTAAAATGACTATATTCCTTTTCCAGGCTTTTGTGCAGTCTGGCTTTTTTTTTTCTTAACCACTTAATGGCACCACAGAATAACTCGTAGTGCTTTATTCAAGACTAAAGAAGTCTGTTGGATGACTTTTTCTTCTTTTTGAGCAAATAATGTTGGATCTGATGCTCTCGAGGCCTTAATGTCTTAGAAATTATTTAAATGTTAAAAATAACCGTCTGCTTGTAAGATCCTAAATGAAATATTGAACTATCTGATCTGAAGCGTTGTGGTTAGGATGAAGTGGAGATGAAACTATATTTAACTCAGATTAGAGTTTGGTCTGACATGGATCACCACACAGCATTATCTAATAAAAGCAAACAAAAAAAGTTGATAAAAGACAGCTCTTTTTTTGTTGCTTATACTAGTGGCTGTTTACTCTGTCATGGACACAAATTACTTTTCTGCTATAATGCCAACTCTTGAATGTGCCACCTAACTGGAGAGCCTGGGAGCTTATGATTTACACTTCATGGAAAGGTCTTTTGGCAGACAAACCTAATGTTTCAGTGACATTAAGCCATCGTCTAAACTCACAGCGCATTGGCTTTTCATCATGGAAACAGTCCAAGACTTTATTTCTTCATAGTGCCTAAAGATGTTAAACTACATATGGGGAATGGATTTGAAGACTTCTGAAGCATTGCTGTCTCGGTCCTCCCTCTGTGTTTGCCTGTGTGAGTCTAACTGGCAGAGAGGGAGGAAAATGAGGGAAATGCGAGAGACAAGACAGCTGTATCGGATCCCCAATTAGGAGCTACCACACACAGAGACCAACCTGCACGTACACTAATGCATGCACAATCGCACACATGCAGACAAACGCACAAGTTCTGACAGAACTTGCACAATTTGCAAACGCACAGGACGCGTACATATACATAATGTATATAAACACTCTTGGATATCCTGGAGAGATGCAGA